CAGCAGGCAGCAGGCATATGGTGGAGTTGTCTCAGGTGTGAGTGTGTGAGTGTAAGTATGGCCAGCGGGGTGACATAAATGTAGTGTAAAAGCAACAAAATAATACGCGTACACACACACTCTCACATCATCTATATACACAAGTATTTGCCCTTTTACATACCAGAAGCAGCAGCAACAGCAGCAACAATAAAAGCAAAAGGCAAAATGCGTACATTATGCGAGCGGCGATCCATGCGTGGGAATAGGAGACACACACAGAGAGACAGAGAGATAGGGAGAGAGAGAGTGAGAGTAAGAGGCGACAAAAACGTATGACGAAAGCGCACACAGAAGCTGCGGGGGGGAGGGAAGATGTTGACCCTCCTTAAAATGGGGCGTTGTTGTAACACTCTGTAACGGTTTTTGCTTCTTTTTGTTTTTGCCGTATTTGACACACAATTCGCACTGATGGGAAAATTTTAAAACAATAACACAATTAATGCAGACAGCGTTTTGAAATGCTTGAGAGTGGCAGAAAAACAAGCGTCTATTATTTATTATGCCTTCTTTAGTAATACACATACACTGACACACATTTTTAAATAGAAGAAGAAATAYATTTCTGCTGCTGCTGCTGTGAGCAGCATATCTTTTTCTTTTGCTTTTCACACACTCACACTGGCACAAACGCACATACACACACTCGCACACAAGTACAGGGGCCAAGCAAGCGCACTCACACATACGGACTCACATACATATTGGCAGACATGCTAGTTCGGCAGCCGCTTATTCAATAAATTGTACAAACATTAAACACACCTTAATTGCACATTGAAGCACTTGCATATAATTGTAATTAGATTACAACATTTCAAGCAGTTTTCACTAGCAAAAATTTTGCAGGGTTTTCGATTGGAAACGCGAAAACAAAAATTACGGAGCACGCATGAACGACCACCGAACCGACGACGACCAACTAAAAAGTACTACTGAGCGTGGTGTGACCAAGTTCGTCTAAACGATACCTACTCGTTCGTGTAGTGTTGCACAACAAATTTGATTAGTGTAATCGATTGTAAAATATGCGATAGTAGTATATTTTGCTCAACATCTCCTCCTACGGGCACACTGTTTCTGTCATACCTCAGTTGTAAATATTAAAATGAATCCGCTAACAAATATGCGAAATGTGCTCAAATTAAGCGAGCAGGAGCTTAAAAACCCTAGTGGTAAGAGCTGGCATGACATGTACCGGGACTCCGCTTGGATATTTATCGCCGGGTTTCCATACACGCTCTCAGAGGGCGACATCATCTGCGTGTTCTCCCAATATGGGGAAGTTGTGAACATAAATTTGGTTCGCGACAGCAAAACGGGAAAATCAAAAGGATTCTGTTTCCTGTGCTACGAGGACCAGCGCTCCACAGTGCTCGCCGTGGACAATCTGAATGGCATCAAAATTATTGATCGCACGCTGCGAGTTGATCATGTGGCAGACTACAAACCGCCCAAAGATAATGAGAAACTGGACGAAGAGACACTGCGGCTTTATATGGAAGGATGTGCGCCAAAGCCTGTAATTAAGCCTAATCCTGCAGCCAGAGAACCACAGTCTGACTTAAAGTTATCTGATGTCATAAAGCAGGAGAAGCAGAAACGCAAAAAGAGTTCCAAGGAGAAAAAACATAAAAAGCGCAGGAAAAGTTCAGAATAGATTTAGGATATAGCCTATATACCCCATTAAAAACCTTTATTAGCGGCTAGTATTAGACTGCCATGAACTACGTTAAGTTTAGAATTAATCTGTGCTTCACAGGGAAGTACAAATGTGTTTGTTACTAAATTTAAATTTAATTCTCTAAAGCGTTTCTATCCCTAAAACTTTCATATGTTTGTACATCTCAATCGAATCGCATTTCTATATACCATAACTACTAACTGTGGGCTGTAGAGACTTCTGCAAAATAGGTAACGCCTTAAAGACTTTATAGTATATTAATATATATGTTCCCTTTTTGGTTTTGTTTATAAAGTTATCGTCTACAATGTTAGATTAGTATATCTTATAGATCATAAAACTTAAGTCTAAACTTAATGATGGTTTTAGTACAAAAATAATTTTACTTAAATCAACGGAATAGAATAATTAATAAAAATTTAAAGCATATCAGCGAGCGATCGCCTAAGTTTTAGCTTCAAGTTTCTTGGGGACTTTTAGTAAACGATTGCAGGCTTCATCCTTTGTTCCTCAGCTGGCTTTATGTTCAATGCAAGAAAATCCATAGGCGAATACTCAAATTTACTCAGATATATCCACAAGCCGACGAGAACAACAAATCCTCCTAGGAATGATTGATTGGTCGCTTGAATAGAATGACGACGCGACTTCATATTGAAGGCACTCGAATCATCGTGAAAGTTTTTAAAACTGATGTTGATCGGGCAAGCGATTAATCGGCAATTGACAATCGCCTGTTGGCAAGAAACGATAGTGCCAAACTATCGATTGTGGGCGCCATCGATTGAGGACGATAGCAATTTCCAAACCATCGATGGTGGTCGATAGCTGAATTGACTTGAAAGCCAAAACTTAAAAATTAATAAATTATGCCTTTTATTGTAGCGATAGATTTTTCTTCAAAAAGAGCAAAATGTTCGCATTTTCTTCTTTAAGCCGTGTCCGCCTATCAGAAACAATTCGTCCCGCCTTTCTGAAAACTCTTTTCGACTCCACAGACATTGCTGGGATGCATAAACATTTGAACATCAGTCATTTTCAAAATAGGAAATCCACCTGGTTGGTCAAATGTATTAGCAAAACTGTCGTTGCTTTTGCAACCGCAACTTGCTGTAGAACTGCGACATTCTTCAAATTATTTGAAAATGTATTACCTCTTTTAAGAAAGCGATTACAACTTTCTACTTTTAAATATATGTATACAAGCAACCACAAATTAATAAAGGCGCGATATTATCGTCCACTATCGTGACATTAAATCAGCGATAGTTCAGCAGCTCGATAGTACCCTACCATCGATGGTGACGATAGTGCCATCGATAGTTTGGCAGCTCTACTTGGAATGCGAAAGCTCATACAATCAACAAGAGAATTACCGTTAGCCACACACAGCTGCATATTCAAATCAGAGGGACAATGTTGAGAGCTAATCTACTGCCAAGCCTCGCAAACACGACTCAAAGGCAGCAGCGTTGAGAGGTTACACAGAAAATCGACATAGCACAAGTCACACACAGCACACATCAATGTATTTTAATCAATATTGATGTATAAAAAGAATATATATGCATATTTGCTTTAAAGAGCTCATCTAAATTAATTGAAAGGCATCCCTTTGAATATTTTAAAAAAGTTTCACTTTTAAAAGAAATCTTATTATATGAGTATAGCGTTTTTTTTTAAGGTGCTGCTCAATCCGCGACCTATTCGCTTGCGGTCTCGTAGTAGGCATCCGCTTCATCGGCATCCGAGTCTTCCGAGCAGGATTCAAGTCCCTCGGCCTCCCGCAAGATTCTACGCTTATAGCGCTCGTAGGCGCTGCCACGCTCCACGTTAAAGAAGTCGACGTCATCCACGAAGCTCGCTGATTCCGTGTCTATGGTATGAACATAGGGATCATGATACACATTGTAATCCTCCGCATCACTCGAGCCACTGGCGAATTCATCATCGTCATCATCTGCAAGTGAAAAGGTTTAGCTTAGTTTGAAGAGGAAATTCATTTAATTTGGCATACGATCCATACCGAACATAAACCTATTCATTTGCTGGCACAGCTCCTCGTCTGAGCCCATTGCGCCGGCATCATCATCATCCGGATAGTCGTTCGTGTAGTAGTTCTCCTGGTTCGAGTCCTCCGAGTCGTAGTCCTCATCATCGTTGTAGCAATCTTCGAACAAAACCTCGTTAACGGGCCGAAGACTGAAAAGGGAGAGGATATTGTTCAATTGGGATTTAAATAATGACTGAACGATTGACTGATGGATTTAATGAAAATAAGAGAACTTTTAATCAGGAATTAACTGCATATCAGCTTTTCAATTATTCAATTAAATTGAATCACAGCAATTATTCAGTTAATTTAAATTATTCAGTTAATTTAAATTAACTAATTTTTAAGTTTAAGTTAAAACTAACTTAATGATTGCAATTAAATTAGCTAACTTCAACTAAAAAACTAAACAAATTTAATTTAACTGACCTATTTAATTAGTATTATTCGGTTAATTTTCATGCAGTCAATCAAGAACACTTGGGTGACTGAATGTCTGATTGATTGACTGACTAGTTAGTTGATTGAAAGATAAACTTTTCAAATGAATGTTTGCTTAGATACATTTATTAATAGCGTTCGTGCTTAGCTTTCTCCATAGTGTCAAATGGTTACAAATGAATACAGTTATGTTAGTGATTGACAAATTGATTGATTGGATTATTGTACAGCTGATTGTATACAGATGAATTCATTTAATATTAATGGTTAAATGACAGCCCCTTTCATATTTCGACACTTGATGGACTGACTGAAAGGTTGACTGTGATGATTTGATTGCCAGCGTGATAATTTGACCGATTGATAGACGGTGATGATAGGATAATTAAATGATGAACTGAGTGATTGACGCATAGAACAACTGACTGATGGAATGGTTTACTAATTGAATAATTAACCGAGTATATTACGACCTACACACAACGCAGAGTACTAAATCTAAGGGAATACTGTAGAGTAACCAAAAGAGGACTTGAATAAATTTGATCAAGTTGGGAATGCTAGCTGTTCAAAGAGTCACTCCTCATCAGCGCAAAATGGAAAATATTATATACAGAGTACAATCGTAAAGTATAAAAGTCCAGTTGGAAGCATTCCCATCGATAGACCCTCGAGGAATGAAATCTGCAAAGCTGATTCAGTCAAATTGGCCCTTGAAAAGCTGGCAAAAGTTGTATTTGAAGAAAAACACGTGTGCCGCGCAAAGCCGGGCAACGACTGCTATACATTTGGATTAACATATATATTTTATTTGATTTCCGCGCTAAACTAAAACTAAGCACTTAATTAGACTTTAGCACACGATTTGTGGAATGACTTAAATTGAAACCTAATAAGAAACTTAAAAAACTGGCAACTGGCAACAAATTGGGACTGAATGAACAAAATGTACACAATATATATAGTATATGTATGTGTGTGTGTGTGTGTGTGTGCGTGTGAGGTGCAAAAAGCAAAAGAAAGAACCTAAAAGCTAATTAAGTTGATATTGTTGCTTTTTTGAAGGAAGAGCTGCGTGCCGTGCGACGTTTTGATTGATTGATTTTGATTGCGTTTGTGTGGGTGCGAAGTGGGGACGTTTGAAATGCTGGGCGTGGCACGTCGATCCGGTGCAGCATCAGCAGCAGCAGTAGTTGTTCTTGATGCTCTTGTTGTTGTTTCTGTTGCTGTGTTACCAGTAGCAGTTGTTGTAGTAATTAAACGGGTAATACAACCTTATATAGAGAATCAGACGAATTAACAATAACAAATAAATTATTGAAAGATTTGCAATCTGATTTCGGATGCTTATAAGTAAATGAGGGACAAGGTAGGACAACATTAAGGTACATATATATATATATCTATTTATATGCATGTCTGCGTATGCGTGTGTGTGGGTTTGTGTAAATATAGCTTTAGAAAGATTGAATTGATTTACGACTAGCCAAAGATAATATGATTTGTGTTGTTTACATATAGAAATTTGTAAGTTGCAACAATTGTTCTTCATTTGTGTTTAGGACGAACCTTAAGTAGTTGTCATCGAACATATCAACATATTGCGCCTGCATCTCATTCTCCGGCACATACAAATCGTACACATAGCCCACGTCCGAGTCAACGGGCTGCTGGTCCAGCAGAGGAAGATGCGGTTCCTGTTCCCTCTGCTGGGACTCGATGTCCACAATTGTTATCTGCCTGCTGTCAGTCTTGCTTTGAGCCTGGTTGCTGTTGCTGCTACCGGCTGCTGTTCCTCCATTCTCTTCCTCCTGCTGCTCCTCCACGTCGTTCAAAGTCGTTCGCAGGCAATTGACTACTCGATATCGTTGCTCCCTGGCCAATTGCTGTTGCTCCTGCCGATGTTTATCTCGACGCAGCGCACTGGCTTTGGCTGTATCCCTAGTCTGATTCACCAGCTCCTTGGCAATGGCTTTGTTCATACGAGCTGCAGCAAACTGTTTGGTGGCGCAGTCGTCCTAAAACAGCGAGATTTGAATAATCCATGTCTGACCCAGCTCACACGCCTGTTGTGCAAATGCTCTGCCCACCCGCTCACCTGTTTCTCCAGCGTGCCGGCAAACTTTAAAAGCACTTGACTTTGTTCCTCTTTGTTATCGGCGATTGGCGCCGTAGATGTAGCGGGCGCGTCCTCATCATTGAGCAGCCGACGGCGTTTGCCATTTAATAGGAATGCCGAATGAGGTTCTTCGTCAATGCGGCGCTTTATGCGCACCACAGCGGGCATATTCAATGATTTGAATTGTTTGCTTTATCGGAATTTTTAAACAAATATATATTTATGACGCTTGCGACGCAACTAAAAATGTGCTGATAAAATCGGGACCGTACGTCGCTAGCACTAAAATACTGAAAGTTTAAAAAATCAAAATACTACACTGAGTCTATAAAATAGTTTATGGTATTTTATCGATAAATTCCTGTTACACAATTTGAATCGCAAAAAGAAAAATTTTCATTCAAAGTAAAATACAAACAAAAATGTGAAGAATAGCTAAGTCGCAAGCATGATTGGCCGTGATGTATATATGTATATCTAAATACAAAAGAGAGAAGTATAATTTTATTAACAAGTTTTAGCTTGTAGCCAAAAAATACAAAAGAGTTTCATTTAATTCACAGGAAAATTTTTTTAAAAAGCTACTTAATTAAATATGTAAAAGTTGCTTGTCGAGCGCATATCGACGTCTACCTTAAATGCTGGAGTTAATAATATATAAAATATTCAAAAATTCAGGTATCTAAAGAAATAAAAATAAAATAAAATTAAAAATTTGCATTATTCTTTCAACAGTTTAACTATATTTGCCAAAAATAAAAGTGCTTTTTAGGAAAAAACTTTTTGTAAACACTTTTAATGTGATTCACAATACCACAAAATGAAATGAAATTGTTGCTGTAGACCGGAACATCTCATTTCAGTTAGTAACGGAACTGCGACTGTTAGCTAACAGACCCTCGCTCTCTCGCTAACATTGCGCTCCCAAAAAGTATGCAAGGCATACAACGAAAAAAGGGAATGTGAATTAGTCGGTTCATGTACGCGCCGGGACTCGGTTGTGTTTACGTTGCGGGTGTGAGAGTTGGCATATTGCAAAATTTACCGTTAGCATTTACGTGTGCCGGCAGGAGCCACAGCAAGCAAAAATCTTAACGTGCCAAAGCTGTTAGTATCGCTCGGTCTCTTGCTATCTCTATCGCCCTCTCTCTCAAGTGCCATAAATTAAAGTGTGCTTAACAAAAATTTAAAGCGCGCCAGTATCACCCTGTGAGTGGATTGGCTTCGTGCACTTGTGTGTGTGTGTTTGTGCCTGTTCGTGTGTGTGTTTGTCGCTCTTCACATTGTCTCGCATTCGCGCGCGCAATTTGGCTGCCGGTGTATTGTGTTAATCTGTGTGTGTGTGTGTATCTGTGTATGTGCTGCAATTTGCACCCAAATGATTTACCGTTTGATTGCTATCAACGCTTGCCGCAATTATGTTTTAATTGTCGCTAAATGGTTTACACACAACGGGATTAGCTGCAGCCGTTTGCGACAGGTGAGTGTCAACTCCCCTCCCCTTTAGCTGTTACTCACCTGGGCAGCATCTCAAAAGTAAATTGAATTCGAACTAATCCCGCATGCACAACGGCCCACCGACTATAAAAATATTTACGAGCAGATATGCCCTACAAAGGAGATGCCACGCCATAAACAAAACATATGCTTGGGCACACTTTTTTTGGTATACCCTGTGTGTATGGGAAGGAGTGGATATATCCTGTGCCCATTGGTCAATCTTTTGTTTACACAGTAGATATTGGGCGTAGATAGGATATAGGATGTAGATGTGTAGATATGTATGTATAGTGCCCATTGCATTGGCATTTTGTAGTGTCTATGTCCATCTTGGGCATACTTTTTTGCGCCTTGTAGGACTGAGGGGTAGAATTGGGTGTATACATATGGAAAGATAATAATTTCATCAATATTGTGATCTTGATCAGAGCTATCAAATAAATCGATCTTGTGACTTAATCATAACTACCTACAAAAATAAAATTATTAAAAAGTAGCCAGCATAACTAAAAAGACTATAATTAAGGTTTAAATAATAATCTTTAAAATAAAATAAAATATTTTACTACTGGGCATCTGCTGGTTGGGCACACTTTCCACCAGAGGACTCTTCTTTGGTTTATGATCAGTGGCGGGGCGTCTAAAAATTTGCCAGCGCATGAATCATTGCGCCTGCCCCCAATGCGTAATATGAGACGCGTCTGTAAGGCTTACAAGTGTGTGCGTGTGTGCGTGTGTGTGCGTGTGTGTGTGCGTGGGGATTTGAACTGGATGCGTTTGGCATAATAATGAAATAATAATGTCGCCTTTTGTTGTGAGGTGTCTCTCAGCCGTTGTGGCAATAAATTAATGGGCCTGCCACATAAAAAGCGCCCTATACGCGCAGGTCCTTTTTGCGCCCGTTTGTTTGATTACAGCCTCTCACATGACTTTCGCGCACCAGTTATGACTGGGGCAGACGGAAGTTGTTGCAACAGCGTCAGCTGTTTTCGCAGCAGCAGCCACAGCCGCTAAGCTCAAAAGATTAACATAAATATTCTGGTTCACGCTGTTGTCTCATGATGGGCAAAGAAGCTGCTGATAAAATGCTAATCATAGAAACAATGTTGCCGCGACAACAACAACCAAAGCAGCGGCAACAGCAGCTTCTACAAGGATATGCCACACGCAACGGCTGCGTCCTTAACATTTCTTTTCTTTATTTTGGTGGTAGCAAAAAAAAATCATCTTGAGAAACTTTTCCGCTTTCCACTTAGACAAGTTGGTTTTCTTTTTTTTTAACATGAGAAGTTGCCCTATGAGGCAATCAACACTTTGTCACACAGCTTGTTATGTTATTTCAAGCTGTTAAGTAGAATGTTAAGCGACACTATGTTAAATTTGATTATAAAGTTAGTTAATTTCTATAAAAATACAACTCACTTCAACTCAAACCATCCGGCAATTGATCTAACTCGTCAGATTATTGATTATATTATAGCAGATCGCAAATAAAACATAAATTTAAAAAACTGATACAACTAATATTAGGTATAGATAAAAATTTAATGAAATTTAAATTTCTTAATATTCTCACGTTGATAAATGTTTCAAAGTTCTTTAAAATGTTTGCTTGAAATGCGAATTTATATATAAAGATTTAAAGTTAAATTTTAGTAAATATTTTATCGTTTTATCTATATTTCTATAATTTTTCCAATATGTAAATAAACATGAAAAAACCTCTTGCACACAAGGTTGATTATTCGCTTATAGAGTATGAAAATGACGACATCGCTCACTACCTTTTGTATAGTATTTTTTTCCTTCTGCAGCTCTACTTTGAAACATTTTTGATTAGCTCAAAGTTTAAGGGTGTGTGTGTGTTTGTGTGCAAAGGGGCAGGAGCAGGCGCTGAAGCAGAGGCTGAGGCTGAGGCTGGGGATGCTTTAATTTCTGTTTAAACTTGACAGAAAACACCTCAGGCCTTCGCCCGGGTCGAGTGTCTCTTTGTGGCTTTGACAGCCTTTGTTTTTGTGACGGGGGCGTTTGGCTACTTAACCGATAAATTTTTGGCAGCAGCATCATATATCCTTGTTAATTTGTCTAAGGGTAGCTGCTTGTTTGCTTCAACTTTTACCTGTTTTCTTGCCCTCTCATGTTCATAAATCATTTTAATGCATTTTGTTCGAGACAAGTTGTCGGTCGGTCAGTTTATTGTGTGTTGGTCATCTCAATAACTAATTCATCAACCTCATAGTCATCTTTATCATCGTCGTTATGAGCTAGAATAATGACAGAGAACAAGAGTCATGCACTGAACCATGGAGGGGAGATTAAAGGGATAACCTTATGTATTATGATGGGTTAGTCAAAAAATTCAAGTTATTTAAATGATTATATTGTTTTTCAATATATTTAGATATATTTGTCTATTTCACCCATTTTTTTTAAATTACAATTTATATATTAGAATATTTTAGTAGAAATATAGTAGAATATAAAAGTAGAAACCTAATACTATTCACAATAAATAGTAATTAAAAAAAAAATGAGTGAAAGCTCTAGCTTTAATTAGTAAATTAAAGGTAATTGATTATAAAAGTGAGACTAAATGAAATTTTGTCTTGAATTTCAATCAAGACCAATAGCTAATATCTGAACATTTCAATCTGCCGCTATCTCTGTTCAAAATCACCTAAAGCTAAATATTAGCAGAAGACAGCCGACTCATTAATGCCTTGCCATTAAATATTGACTCTTAACAGTCTGAAGATTCTTATCTTAAAGTTTAAAGTGCTCGACACTTAACTACTCTTAAGTCCTCAATTGGCCTCATATTTTATTTAAGCGAAAGTGTAAAACGAGAGAAAATAAGACACAGACAGCGTGAATCGAGCTGAGCTGAGTTGAGTTGAGTAGAGTTCAGCAAAGCGTTTTGCTGCAATGGATTTATGCGTCTTTTGATAACTAATTCCCTTTGGGCGACTGTCAACAAGGAGATAAACTGCTAGGCAACTGCCAGAAGTCCAGTACGAAGCACATGTGAGGAAAAAGCGAAGTTTCTTCTTTAAGGAAGCAACTTAAAGAGAATGACTGGCAGAATGACAGACTGACTGCCAAATAGCTTGACTAACTGCTCGACTGCCAGTCAGGCTGACACTCATATTAATTTGCTGTTAAATGGCAACCCTAACGGCATTCCTCGAGGGTTAACGCCTACCCGAATGTGCAGAAAAAATGGCCGAAAACAATTTGAGGCAATCAGCTGCAGAGTACGTGACATGAGCCACCCAAGCAACTGGCCAACTATTGATAAGAGAGCAAGACTTCAGGAAAAACTTGCAGAAAAACTTGAGCAAAATGTGCAAAATGCAAACAGCTGCTGCTGCTGCGGCTTCTGCTTCTGCTGCTGCCCTTTGGGTCCATGTCAATGACCTCTCGGCTAGCACGTGAGCCAAGTGTAGCGGCAAATGAGCTAATTTACTCGAATTCCAGCTCCTTGGCGACGGACACATTCACGTGGCGAGCAGAAAGTCAAGAAATTCAATTGGGAACATAAATCATGCCACACGGCAGATGCACACGCAATCAGCTGTTCTTGTCACAGAGCCACTGCCAAATCGCAGTGCCAGCTGAAAGGGAAATGGCACGGGGTGCCATTGTGGAGCATGTCAATCAAGCCACAAGACCAAACGCCTGTCGGGAGCCAAGGGTTGAGCTCTAGCCTTAAGCATTCTGACATAACAAGTTCTCTGAACTATGCTCGATGATACCCTGTAATTTACAGATATTTGCTGAA